TATATGGATTTTAGACATAGATTATGGGAGTGCCCGCCTAAAATCCCATGGCCAGAGAGTCTAGGTAACAGAACCTTCATTCAGTGGCTGATGGAAGCAGAGGCAGACTTCCACAGCTAAACACTGAGCTGAACTCAAAAAATCCAGTGACAGAGAGGGAGGACTTATGAGCAAAGGGATTAAGACTGGGCTGGTTTAACCCCCAGAAACAGCTGACCTGACAATGGTTAGTTCTTGAAACATAGTCTGATGCCTGGGAATCCAGCATGGGACTGATCAAGACCCCCTGAATGTGGGTGTCAGTGAGGAGGCCTAGGTAATCTATTGAGCCTTTCGGAGTAGATCGGTATTTATCCTGGGTATACAAATGGACTTTAGACTCTCATCCAACAATGAGAGATTCCCTCTCACCCTGAACTTTTGGGGGATGGTCTAGGCCCTGCCCTGGATGAAATGACAAACTATGGACACCCCCATGTAAGGCCTCACCCTCCCTGGGGAAATAAGGGGATAATGGGGGGGGTTCGTGGGAGGGCATGGGAGGAGCGGGGGGAAACAGAGAGGGACCTGGAATTGACATGTGAAGCAACCTTGTTTCTAATTTAATTTTAAATTTAAATATTATATATATATATATATATATATATACTGGTTGGTATTGGTATGAAAATACACAGATCAATGGAATCAAGTTGTGAACACTGATATTAACATACACACCTAGGTACATCTGTTTTTACAATAAGAAGCTAAAATTATACAATGGAAAAAAGACAGTATCTTCAACAAATGGTGCTAGTACATCTGAATGATGGCATCTAGAAGACTGCAGATAGATCCATGTCTTCTAGAAAGTAATGTAAGTTCAAATGGATCAAAGATATTGACATACTGTACATCTTAGAAGAGAATGTGAAAAGAACCCTTGAAGAAACTGATACACAAGACTGCTTCTTGAACATACCACCAGTAGAAGAGACACTGAAATCATCAATTAATAAATGGGACCTGCTAAAAACTGAGAAGCTTCTGTAAGGTGAAAGACACAGTCAACAAGACAAAACAACAGCCCACAGAATGGAAAAAGATGTTCACCAACCCCACATCTGACAGAGGGCACATTTCCAAAATTTACAAAGAACTCTGGAAGTAAATCTCCAAAACACCAAATGATCCAATTAACAATGGAGTACAGAACTAAATAGACAATTCCCAATAGAGGAGTCTAAAATGGCTGAGAGGCACTTAATTAAGTGCTCAACAACCTTACCCATCAGGGAAGTGCAAATCAAAACAACTCTGAGATACCATCTCACTCCTGTCGGAATAGCTAAAATCAAAAACTCCAATGACAGTTTATGCTGGAGAGGATGTGGAGAAAGGGGAACATTCCTCCACTGCTGGTGGGAGTGCCATCTCATACAGACACTTTGGAAATTAGTATGGAGATTCCTCAGGAAAATGGGAATCAGCCTATCACAAGATCCAGCAATTACATTCATAAGCATATTCCTAAAAGAAGATATCTGTTCAACTATGTCCAGAGCAGCATTATTTATAATAGCCAGTACCTGGAGGCAACCTGTATGTCCCTCAGCTTAGGAATGAATAGAGAAAATGTGGTACATTTACACAATGGAGTACTACTCAGCAGAAAAAAAAGTGGAATCTTGAAATTCATTGGCAAATGGGTAGAACTAGAAGAAACTTATCCTGAGCAAGGTAAGTCAGTCACAAAAATACAAACATGGTATGTACTCACTCATATATGGATTTTAGACATAGAACAAAGGATTAGCAGCCTACAATCTATACTGTCAGAAAAGCTAGGAAAGAAGAGGGACCCTAAGGGAGACACACATGGTCTCCTGGGGAAGGGGAAAGGGAAAAGATCACCTGAGCATATTAGGAGGTTGTGGGGGTGATTGAGGGAATTAGGAGAAAGAGAAGGGAAGAAGAGGAGGGGAGAGGAGAACATGAGTGAGCAGGAAGTTTGAGTTGGGGGAAGAATAGAGGAGAGCTAGATATGATATGCCATGATAGAGGTAGCAAGAAATGATATGCCATAATAGAGGTAGCCATTATAGGTCATCTAAAGAGAAACCTGGCACTAGGAAAATGTCTAGAGATTCAAAAGGATGACACCAACTAACAATTAAGGAATAGTGGACAGGATACCTTAAATGCCCTTCTCTGGTAATGAGATTGATGACTACCATATATGCCATCCTATAGCCTTCATGCAGTAGCTGTGGGAAGCAGAAGCAGACACCCATAGATAAACACTTTCCTGGAATCCTGAAACCCAGTTGCAGATAGGGAGAAGTGATGAGTAAAGGGGTCAAGACCAGGCTGCAGAAACTTACTGAAACAGCTGACTTGAACAAGGATGAGCTCATGGTCCCCAGATTGATAGGTGAGAATCAAGCATAGGACTGACCCAGACTCCCTGATCGTGGATGTGAGTTAGGAGGCCTGGGCAATCTATGGGGCCTGTGGCAGTGGATTAGTATTTATCCCTAATATACAAATGGACTTTGGGAACCCACTCCACATAGAGGGATACTCTTTCAGCCTAGACATATCGGGGAGGGTCTAGGCCCTGATCCAAATGATATGATAGACTTTGAAGATCCCCCATTGCATCTTCCTGAGGAGGAGAAAGGGGATGGGATAGTGGGTCAGTGGGGGGGTCAGGGCAGGAGGGGAGGGAGAGGGACCGGGGATTGACATGTAAAACATGGTTGTTTATAATTTAAATTTAAAAATCTGAAAAAATAAAGTAATGAGAAAAAAGTGGGGTACAAAACTAAATAGAGAAGTCTCAATACATGAATCCAAAATGGCTGAAAGACACTTAAGAAAGTGCTGAACATCCTTAGCCACCAGGGAAATTAAAATCAAAACAAGTGTGAGATACCATCTTGCACCTTTCAGAATGGCTAAATCAAAAACTCCAATGTCAGTTTATGATGAAGAGGATATGGATAGATGGGGACACTCCTCCATTGCTTCTGGGAATGCAAACTTGTACAGTCACTTTGGAAATCAGTATGATTATTCTTAGGAAAATGGAACTCAGTCTACCTAATACATCGTAAGAAAACTATAGCAAGGATTGAAATACTCGATTGCCTAAAACCATTTCAAATGCTCAGTGAAATACCCAATGTAATATAAAAGCTTGCCATATCTCCTAATGTTTTGTGTTAGCTTCTACTAAATTTAAGTCAAATTTTTTGCTCAGCTGTGAGGACAAGCATTGTGTCTGCTTCAAGCTTCATTTCCAAAGCTTGAAGAAAGATAAATTTACAGAGATATTTCTAATTTTCTTAATTGCTGTCTTTTACACTGTCTATTCCAGACCACAGAGGACCACCAATATTCCTTATTCATTGATATAAAACTTGCTTGAGCAAAGGAAGTTTATGGACAGAGCAACCATTGAGTCTGACCCCTAGATAAGCAGGGATCATAAAATAAGGAAAAATTTCCTCTTTTGCTCATAGTACATATGACATATAGACACCCTGCAAAGCAAATAAAAATTGTTAGCCTGACATTTTCTTGTGGAATAAATAGGAATTTTCTCTAAGCAGATTAACCTATAATTATCTTGAACTGAGAAAACAATTACCTAGCCAACAGTCTGAGTCACACTGTCTGACAACGATAGTTCTTATGATCTTTGCCAGTTTAATCTTAGAATTTTTATCAATACTTTGAAGTCAAGGATATCCATTACAATTATATTGATTTAATTCCTTTCCTAGCTTTCACTATTATGTTTACTGTTTGATTTCTGAGGAGACTATCTATTCCTAATGTACTGTGAATAATAAAAGCAGGAGAGCTGTGGGCACAAGACTCCTTTAAAGTAACTCTACCAAAATATTTGAGTATCATCTTACTTGAAGTTCACTGGTTTCTTTGTTTGTTTGTTTGTTTGGGTGGTTGGTTGGTTTTTTTTGTTTGTTTGTTTGTTTTTTTGTTTGTTTGTTTTTTTATTTGGTTTTACGAGACAGGGTTTCTCTGTATTGTTTTGGCAGCTGTCAGACCAGCCTGGCCTCTAACTCACAGAGATCTGCCTACCTCTGCCTCCTGAGTGCTGGGATTAAAGGCATGCAACACCACCGCCCGGCGAAGTTCACTTTTTAATATAATCTGATATCATATAATGCTTGTGTCATTTATTCAAACACTAATTTTGGTTACTAGGTCAAAGTTACTAACTTAACTTTATTTAAAGGTAAATATTTCTCTCACTTTTGCTCTCTTTCTCTCTGACTCTCTTTGTGTCTGTATGTGTGTGTTACATTGACTATATAATAGAGAGTAACGTAAAAATTATCAATACAACATATTCTCCAATGGAGAATTCAAAGCTAAGCATTCACAAATATTCTATGAAATAATAAAAAATTTTCATGTGGCATGTTTTAGGGCAATGAAAGGTCTTGGTTTAGAGATTAGACTGGTGGCTGCTTAACCTTTAGGGCTTTTAACCAAAATTCACAGGAAAAATATCAAGGACAAAGATCTCTGGAGATGGCAGTTTAGAAACACAGTTCTAATGAAATACGAAATTTATCCCATTTGTGCAATTTTTATACATGCATTTTATTTAAATTATAAACAACCTTATTTTGCATATCAATGTAAGTTCCCTCTCCCTTCCATCCTCCCATACCTCTCATGACTCCCTCACCCCACCCCCCATCCACGCCCCAGAAAACCATTTGTACAATTTAAGAGAAACATTTTACATGCACAGGAATGTTATGTAAAGGAATAAGATTTCACCTTTACTAGGCTATTCAAACAATAACAAGACTTGGCAAATACAGAAAGAAAACCATCAAAAATAAGGGTGAATAAATCACTGCTGAATTACACAGCTTTCAATATCTGTTCCAGGATATTCAACATCTATAACATTACTAAAATTACTATAGACAGTGTATTTTAACAATATTCCAAAGGAAATTTGAAATCTGTACCTTAGAACAATTCACATTCTTCATGTCCCAGAAAAGAGCTACTCTTTGAATGTATGCAGGAAGATTTTCCAGCAGGTCAACTTGAGGATGATTTTTAATTACATACATTAGTGTTCATTTTAGAAATAGATCACCTGGAAGGAAGTTAGAGCATGTGACTCTCTTTGTAAAAAATTAACATATTATATTGTTTCATATTTAGTAGTGTAAGAAAACTTAAAGTTCTGAACTGAATTGTAATTATTTCTTATCTTGAGAGTACAGATATAAGCAGCAGGGACAATATTTTATCTTTATACAATCTTTGATGTGTATTCATTTGAAACCTTATATTCAAACTGTCCCTACCAGAATTTTTAAGCCATATGGCTATTCCTTGAGAGCTCTCAAAGGGCAATCATTCTGGGTAGCCTTCTGAAGACTTCATAGCTTAAGATACAGTTGTAGTAACTGACCCTTTTTACATAACAGATTGCTCACTCTGGTGGATAGTAAACTGCAATAGGTCATGAAGAACATGGTCATATTTTTCCCCGAATTAAACTAATTATGTATTTGTATTTTCTTAACTATTTATTACATAGAATTGGAGAAAACATTATAATATTAAACAAATGTTCCACAATATAAAAATTCGGTATTTTGAATAAAGAATCCTGCAATGTACCATGTACTGGTTGCTTTTCTCATGGCTGTTCTGAAACACGTGGCAAAACAGACAACAGGAGAAAGAATGGGTTTCTTTTAGCTCACTATTTGAAGGTACAATTCAAGTGACAGAGAAAGCTGAGGGGTAGGATCATTTAATAGCTGTCATAGTATACCTACAGGCAGAAAGCAGAGTATGACAAACTTTAGCATTCAAATGCTATTTTGTTCTGCTTGTGGTTTTAAGGTCAGGACACAATCTAGAAAACAGAATTGCCCAAGCTAGATTACATCTTTCCACCAAGGTCCACCCTCTCTTGAAATGCCCTTAGAGACATGTCCTTATTGTTATTTTCCTAATTGTTACTAAATCTCATTAAATTTACAGTAAAACTTAGTCATTGCAACTTGATCCTTTAGCAACATGATGCCCAGATGCAACATTTTAAACCATTATATTACATGGAGCTTCTTAAAATCTCCTGTTCCTTTCATGATGCCAAATGTGCTTCATATAATCCAAAAATCCCTAAAGGCATAGCAATTCTAACACTGATAAAAATTTTTTGGTTCAGAGTTTTGGAGCGATTACTCAGTTGCTAAGGATGCAAGATTTGGTTCCACCACTCACATTAGGAAATGCACAGTTACCCATAATTCTAGCCCTAATGTTTTTTTCTGGCTTTTGATGCCTTCACTCAAATGTACTCACCAACTCAAACACATACAAAGATATAATTTAAATACAAATAAATATTTTCAGTGAACCATTTAGTTTTCTCCTGAAGCATAAAGCAGTAATATGTCTGTCAATATATATATATGCATATATATATTTGTGTGATTACATATATGAAGCATATCATATATATGTATTTATTATATATTAATGTACTATATGTAATATGCTTCATATATTCAATTGCACATAGCAAAATTTCCCTTTACGATAGAGAATAATGAGGAACAGCCAGGATAGATTAAGTTAAATCAAGACTAAAATCCAGCAGGAAAAACAAGAAAAAATTTTACTTTGTATCTAGGATCTGGGATTTATGATGATGACATTTGCACTTCCATAGCCTTGAGCCATCATCAAACTCATATAATTCTGCAACTTTAAGCTCAGGTAACACCTCATGGATATTGCTCTACAATATATCTGCAGTTTTCCTTGCTAGACACTCCATGCTATATATTGCCAACTAGGCTACCTTTCCCAGTTCCCTCTCAAATGTACTAGCAGGAAATCTATTTGAGGCTTTCAAACATTGTCTGGCTTCTGAAGATTTCAGGAACCTTTGTATATATCTCCATGTGCTTTTCATTTCAGTATGCTTCGTTCCAACAAGCCAGTATCACATTTACATCACTAGTGAGTTCTGTCGACTTAGATACATAGACTGGTCTCTGGGCTAGTTTCAGTGGTTTTTGATTGCCTTTGATTCTGAGCAAAGGGAAATACCTCCCTTTGTAAAACGTTTGAAATGGAACCCCAGAGAACTTCTTAGTTGAAAATTTCTTCTTTCAATACATTTGCGTTTTCACAAGTAGAGTGAATGGGTTTTTGCTTCTAAAGGACTTTTCTCCTTTCCCGGCTTTGAGATAATATTTCCATTTATTGACACCAGTTGATAGTTTTCTTTATCTTCATATTATCTACAACTTTAAATATCTTTACAGTCATTCCCAATGAATTTAGATATTTTATCTATATTTTAGAAATTTCTCACCATAGATGAATAAAAGCATTGAGTATTAATGACCCCATTGACTGAATACCATACATGTTTGAAAAGTCCTATGCTAAAGGAGATAATCTAATACATTTCAATTGTAGTCAGAAACAGTCAGAAAAAAAAACGCAAGTTAGTTTATGTCCAGTTTGTAATAATATAATGAGTCCTGGCTTCCCACATGAAGCCTGGTGATCTAGGAATAATGACATGAAAATGACCATAAGGGTCATTAATCTGTGCATTCTGAAGCTTCTCTAAACCTTCACTCTAAATTCCTCCACTTTTTTCCTACACATTAATTTCAAAATATTCAGAAGCACATACTGATATTAAATATTATTAATCACACCATCCTTGATTACCAATATTATATGTTGATTGTATTTCACTGTACTCTGACAAATTATTTAAAATAGTAATTTAATGAAGGAATTTCTAATTTGTCACATTATTTATGTTCTCCATCACATTCAAGAGCAGATGCCATAAGGAATATGAGGTAGATGCTGACAATCCATCTGTTTTTAAGAAGCACAGAGAAGTGAATATTTTCACTTACCCCTCCCTTTGATTCAGTATGGGACACTAGACCACAGAATTCATTTCCATACAAACACATATGAATCTTTCCACCTCAGTCAGACCTCTTTGAAAACATACTCAGAGGTTTGTTTCTTACATGATTTTAATTTATTAAAGATTAGAACCAACTATCACCATCACAACTATTTTTCAATGTAGTTTCATATTAATGTTTTTGCCTTGCATTGTTTAGGGAAAGTCAATGACATTAATGTATATAAATATTTGGGGCTACAAAATGGAAGATCACACAGTAAATATACAGCCTTTGCATCATGAGATAACTTAGAAGAATTAAGGAGTCCTATGATAGATGAAACCAGTTCAAAGCTGTACCTGGATTTATAATTTCATGAATGAATTGGCTGTTTTTTGTGGTAGATTCTTCCTGTAGCTTATTCCTTTTTGTAACAAACTTGGGTTTACTTCCCACAGTTTAGCACCATTTGATAATTTATAGGGAACAAATTTCACCCATGCATTTGGAGTTTTACTGATTATACTCCCTAGCTATGTTTAAATACCTGTTCTCCATTAACAGGTATATATTCTTTAGCTATGTGTGAGACCTGTTTCCCACTACCAGGTCCCTAATCCCCTCTCTATTGTAATTGCAGAGATCTGCTTTCCTGAAATTATCTTTATTGAGGGGCATTTGGTCAGTGTTTAGGGCCCAGGCAAAAGCATCCCATCTACGACATTCCCAAATATCCAAGGACATAGAATTACTACACATCCAAACTTGTGGATTCATAGCTGCCTAAATGGATAGAAAATAGAAGTTTTAGTTTATTGCTCTATGTGCAAATTGTATCTGCCTTGCTGACCCTGAGAAACTCAAGCCTCATGTTGTATTGCAAAAATAATTACTGTTGCAAATGCATAAATACCTGTACCCCCAAGAACTGAGGGAAGACAAGAATTGGAGAGACAAAGAGATGGAGAGATAGACAGAAACAGAGAAACAGAACAGCAATTGTGTGTGAGCCAATTCCCTTTCCCCTCAGATTTTAGTTCCCTTGCTTATTTGTAGTTCCTTTCTTTTTTAAATTTTTTAAAATTTAAATTAGAATCAAGCTTGCTTTACATGTCAATCCCAGCTCCCTCCCCCTCCCCTGTTCCTCCACCCCCACCAATCCTAACCCCACCCCATCCCCCTTCTACTCCCCAGTCTTTCTTATTAGCTACAGTGATGTTTTAAATTCTAATTTTTATATTGTATTGCTATGTTTAAGTTTCACTTCTAATTTTGCATGATTTCTGTAAAATATTTCCAAGGTTCAATATTCTTGTACCCAAAACCTTATGCCTCCTTTCAGTTGTTGACATACTGAGCATATTTCTCTACCAGTGTACTATTTTGTTATATACTGCCTATGTTTGAAAAGAATTACAATCCTCCTTTGTCTTGGTCTCCCTCATTTTTTCTGTCTCTGTCTCCATCTCTCTCTCTCTCTCTTTCTCTCTCTCCCCCCTCTCTCTGTATCCTATTATTGATGTTTCCTTAACCTGCTCTCCATCCTATTCTGTTGTTTCAGTAACATCAGAATAGGGCAGATGACTTCTTTTTTATCATTTTTTATTTTAATTTTAAATAGCTTGTTTTACATGTCAATCCCAGTTCCCTCTTCCTCCCCTCCTCCCGCACTCCCCTTCCCCCCCAGCCTCCCACCCTATTGCCAGTTCCTTCCACATAGGGGATATCTTGAGTCTGTCATTTCACTCCGGGTAGGGTCCAGGCATTCCCCCTAAGAGTCCAGGCTGAGAGAGCATCCCTCTTTGTGCTATGGGCACACGATGACTGTTTGTATTCCAGGGATAGACACTGATCAACTGCTCAAGGCCCCATAGGTTGCCCAGGCCTTCTCACTGACACTCACATTTAGGTGGTCCAGATCAGTCCCATGTTAGCCTCCCCGCTGTCAGTCTGGGGTCCAAGAGCTCTCCTCTGTTCAGATCAGCTGTCTCTGCTGGTTTTGCCAGCCCATTCTTTTCCAATTTGCTCATCACTCCTCTCTCCCTGCCACTGGGTGAACCTGGAAACAACCTAGATGCCCCTCAACTGAAGAGTGGGTGGAGAAAATGTGGTACATTTACACAATGGAGTATTACTCAGCA